GCAACACTAGAAAATGTACAGTTAAAGCAGAACACATGTATGTATATGCACTTTTATCTCTTCAATGTACAGAATTGAGTGAACTATGTTGTTTTAATGATTGCTGAAGATTTAACTCTGCCTACAATGTAGGCTTAGTGCTACACCATGTTTTGTATAGACAATAATGCTTTTATGCAGTAGATTTCAGTCTTGCTTCTACTTTTTTTTTATATATACTATATGTTGCAATCGTTAGGGCAGATTGCCTAAATTAGATAGGAACAAATTAAAGCACTCTATTTGTCTAAAAGTTGTGATGTTTGTCTGCTCATTCAGGATGTATATCTTTGTGAAGAGCTCCACTGGCAGGACAATCCGTCTCAGGGTCCAGCCAACTGATACCTTGTCTACTGTCAAGGCAAAGATCCAGGAACAATACCAGCTTGTCTTTGATGGAGTGCAGCTAGAGGATAACCTTACGTTGGCTGATTATGACATCCAGAACAGGTCCACACTTGACCTCCAAGAAAAGATGCAAATTTATGTACGGGAGACGCTGTTAGGCTCGAATATCACCGTTGAGGTTGATAGCTTAGATACCATTGGTAATGTGAAGGACAAGATTGAATCTATAGAGGGGTTTCCCAAGCATCAGCAGTGCCTCCTCTTTGACCAAAAACAGCTAGAGGACAACAGCACCTTGGCGGACCACAACATTTGCAAGGAAGCCACCGTTCTCCTTGTCCTCCACTCGTCTCCAAGAGGTACGATGCAGATCTTTGCGAAGACGATGACTGGAAAGATCCTAACTCTAGAGGTGAACAGCACAGACACCATCCGCAATGTCAAGATGATGATCTATAGAAAGGACGGCACTCGGCCTAAACTGCAACGCCTCATCTTTGATGGCAAGCAGCTGGATGATGACCGCACTCTTGGAGACTATGACATTCGGAATGAGCATACCCTCCTTGTGATGCTCTGCCTGTGTGGTTGTTGAGTGAGGGATGTGGTGCATGGATATTCAACAATGAGTAGTATTTTGCTGTACTCTTCTTTCTTTACAGTAGTGGTTGGTGTGTTAACTTTGATTATATTGTTGGACGTTAGTATTGCTGCAGTCTTGTTTCTTTCTTTTCTACTAGCAGTGTGTTAACGTGTGAGATCTATATCAAGAATTAATCAGATATTAGTTGAATGCGATCTTTAAAAAAACCATTAGTTTTATGCTTTATTATTTCCTCAATCTTTGAATGCAATCATTAAAAAAACATTAGTTGAATGCTTTATTATTTCCTCAGGCTTCTAGCAATTTTTTGCCAGCCTCGTCGTCAACGGCAACTGTGGTAGCAACGTGGCCACCACTGGAGGATCGTATCGTGCGGCCTGATCGGCTGAGGAAAAAATTCAGTGAAGGCACCTATGGTACCTACCACTGACAGATTCGACAATTTGTGTGTCCATATGCAAGCATTTATATGATGAAATAGTAGTACTTGTATATGGAGTTATGGACACCCATCATGAATCTAGAGTAGGGCCTTGTTTAGTTCAGCGTTAGGAATTAGTATTTGGCACTGTAGCATTTTCGTTTGTATTTGACAATTATTGTTTAATCATGGTCTAACTAGGCTCAAAAGATTCGTCTCGTAATTTACAATCAAACTGTGTAATTAGTTATTTTTTTATCTACATTTAATACTTCATACATGTGTCAAAGATTTGATGTGATGGAGAGAGAGTGAAAAAACTTGGAATCTAAACAAGGCCTAGGTGGCCATGGGTATTTTTTTCTCGATCAGCAGTGATCAACACGGCACTGTATATATATGCTGGCAGCTGGTGACCGTGGGCAATGCAAGGATCCGCTGCACAGCTTGGATGACGACACACAGCGATCACTATTTTGATGAGTACATGGTTCCATCAATTGCTTCCTTCCTTTGAAGGTGAAAAAATATTGTTCCTCTCCCCCATTGCTCTGTACTGTGCCATTCTTTGATTTGATTTGCATTGCTGCCAGGAAAAATGCCTCATTGTGCCCTGCCATCATATTGCTGAGCCTGTATAAACTAACGTCTTGATGGATTGGTTTGTGTCTGTGTCCTTGTGTCATCACTCTGGAGCTTGAGAGGATCGACCTGCACCTATGAATCAATACTTGTATTCAACAGAGAATGTCATTTAGCTACTGATCTGAATTTGCTTAGTAACTTTTATCTTACCGTAATGTCTATTTAAGCATCTACAGAATGCTTTTGACAAACATCATGACCTGTTTATCATTGATCAGTTCTGAATTTAAGTTTCCCTGAATTTTGTATCTATATTTTTTGCATGAGAGATATGGTTGCCCCCCGATGTCAACAAAAAATTCAGCAGCCGTGAAACATACTCCTTTCTTGAATGCACGGGGTGTTGGTTTGATCATTGTTTGCAAAATTACTATTGGTTTTCCAAGCTTTTGGGCCAGCAAATTGACACTGTGATCTATATTTCACGTGACATGAACTACATGGACACCTGTACCAGTATGACATTTATTCATATGTTAAAAAATGGGATTTTCAACTCGTAAAAAAGAAATACAGTCACCCACACATGCTTACCTATTTCAAATTATGCACTACACAGATCATCCAAGGACATATTAGGTCATTCACAGGAAAGCCTTGCATTCCTGGAGCTGGAGCAAGACTTCATGACAATATGTCTGATCCACCTTTCCTCCACAGTGCAATTGTAACTCTAGAGTGGAAATGTTCCATAATAGAATATAATTGGTTTAGTGGAGCAGAGCAGTCCTAAACAAAGTCTAAATATTACAAGCAACTGAAGTCCTAAATGTTACAAGCAACTAAATTAATAAAAACCAACGTGAGCCAATGAGTTTTCCTAATTTGTACTGTACAGGATTCCCAAGGGGGAGACGATGTTAAGGGCCAGGCTAGTGGAGCATTTTTACACCAAACTATATTACGCGGGTTTGGAAGTTGAGTCTCTCATGGGTTTTTTGGAGCTAGATATTCATAGCTCAAGAAAATCCTAGTAGACCTATAGCTGAAGATACATTGAGAGCATTTAGACCAGTACGGAGCCACCGACAGGCCACCCCATGCAACTGGCCGGGCTCGTCGGCAAAGCTCAAAAGAAAATTTTCTTTATATCAAAGAACACTGTAATTTGCTAGGTAAATATTTTTGCATGATGATAATCGCTAAGCTTCTAAAAGCCTCTGGCTCCACCACTTATTTGGATAATTTTTAACTTTATTTATAGTTTGGACTAGATATATAAATACATATTTCAACACCTTCAATTTAATCTATCTTTTCTTTCGGGTGTGACTTTCTTCATCCATATCTATCTTCTATATTTTTTTCCACTCTGGATTTTCTTTCTCTCGTATTCTGATCTGTCTTATTTTTTCTTTTTTTTTTGTTTTTTTCTCACAGTACCTCCACCAAACGTTATTCTTTTTGAGACACATTTTGAATACTATCACATCTTTTATTGTGGGACGGAGGAAGTAGTCCTAATAAGTGTTGGTATAGGCAATGACCAACTAGTTTGTTTTCTGAACCCTGACCAATTCTGTAATGGAAGCATCATCTTGAACAACAAGTGATCTACATCCAATCCAACCCCATACACCTTGGACGCTCGGGCAAAACCATGCCAGTGGGAAAAGAAAAACAATAGGAACTTTGAAATACTTTGAAAGATGAACACGTTTAGAAGTAGTGGAATTGACATGAGGTTCGTGATCTTATTCATCTGAAATAAAGCGATATAGTTGTTACTTAATCCATGGAACAAACATCAACCCACTCATCTGACACGTTGAAAGAATATCAACCGCCAATACCAGCCATACTGGATCTGGAAGCCTGGATACACGTTCCGTCATTGAGAGATGCCGAGATTTAAATCCAACAAGATGGTAACACAAAGACACAGATAAGAACTCTGATTGTCCCTCCAATTGCATTGCCTTTGCAAAAACAAAATCAACTAGAAAAACACCGGATTGGATGATTAGAACAACACCTGCACTAAACGTATTATTTGTGATAAATAAGAGATCTAGCAAGCAATCAACAACGACGATACCAGTTAGTAGCCCGTGAGATGGATGGGACAAACTTTATTCAATTTAATATAAAACCCTAAAAACTACTAGACTTAAATTACGGAGGAAGGTCCCTGCTCCTTTTATAGCCAGCGAAGTTGCCCCACGGGAAGGAGGGGGACCATTGTGATCACAAACCGCGGCAGCGGAGGACGTTAAAGAGACAGAGGTTGAAAATTAATTCGTCTAAACTAATCGGTACAAATCTATTTTATATATCATTTTCCTTTACACTATGCATTTTTTTTAAAAAATCCAAAAAAATACTAGACCATTGTATGATGCTTGCAGAACAACTCTTACGAGCTTGGAATCAATATATCGAGCTATTCTCAACATCAATATGCCAAATGAAGATTTATTTATGGGTTTGAATCGATACACAAAATATTTTTTGTTTTTGCGTGAAGCTTACACCAATGCACCCATTTATTTTATTTTATTTTATTTTTGTCGTCAAGGCTCAAGGGGTAAAGACGCTAATAATGAAAAATCCTATTTTTTATTTATTTTTGTTAAAAAAGAGCTCAAGGGTAAAGTCGGTATAACGAAAAAACCCGCGGTTAAACCGCCCCTCGCCGGAGCGGAGGCGGGAGGCCGAGCAGCCGATTCCGACTCTTCTTCTTCCTCCAGGTTGGCGCGTGAGGGATACGCGACACCAGAATTCCATGAACCCACTCTGCGACTCATCTTCCCGGGCAATAAAACCCTAGCGCGTCGGCGCCGCTCCCCCCAGAGCAATCCATCCCCAGAGTTTTCGATTCCCCCATCCCGATCTCGATCTCCTGAGTCCCGACCACAGCTCCGCGCGCGCTTCGCGATCTCGACCCGGCGGCTCCCTCGATCGATTCCGGCGAGGCCGCTGGTGCTCCTCCCTCCTGGCCCGATGTCAGCAGGTGCTCCTCTCTCCTCGTTCGATCCCAGCTCCTCTCGAGTCGTCGCCCCTTCGGCTCCTGCTGCGATGCTGAGCCCACCTCCGGCCCCACCCGCAGCGGTGCAGGATGAGAAGCGTCCCTCGCCGCCGATGAAGGTGAAGCTGCTTTTTCCGTACGCTGTGTCCTGCGTGTTCGGCGGCATGGGCCGCGCCTGGGGCATGGCTATGGTCGGGCTCCACGCTGTGCTCTGCATCATCAAGGTCCTCTCCTTCACTACAGATCCCGAGGTGGCCCGCTTCTGGGTACCGATCTTCAGCGTCTGGGTGTACCTCGGCATCGCCGCGATCGTGCTCATGACGTGCGTGAACATCGTCTACTACATGCCCGTGTATGGGGTGTACGCCATGAAGTACGATCTGCCGCCGCAGCAGCCGGCGGCAGCGGTAGTGGCGACACCTGAACAGCTCCCACCTCCTCCTCCGGAGATGGATATGTGTTAGGTTTGGTCGGTGCGTTCGGTATGTGTTTGATTGCTGGCGCCAGGTGTGTTTTCTAACCCATTCTTCAAGTTTCTGTTTACTCGCTGCTTACAGTTACAGGTGTTGCTGCTCTCTTTGCTCAAGGTACATGCCCTCCCCTTCCCGGCCCTATCAAAATTCAGCATCTTCAGTATTGCTTAATTGTGCAGCTATAAGTATCTTTAATGTCGTATTGCTTAATTGTGCAGCTATAAGTATCTGAAATCAGAAATATTAAGTTTTGAAACAGAAAATATCTGGATTTTAGGTTCCATATATAGCATTGTTGTCTGTGCCTATATGATTTGGTGCAGATTTCTTTGCTTGTGCTAGATCATCTCTTTTCAATTTGTTTAGGCACCACTAGAAATTTGGAAGATGCTTCAGGTGCTTCTGGTTTTGTTATTAAATGGTATGTTTTTCAAGTCTATGCTTAATCTATCTTTTATAAAACAATGGATCCACAATGTGTTCATACTTAAGTAGTTGCATTGTGGGAGCACTTCATTGTATGGGAATTTATTATTTGTTGTCCTAGTACGCTTTTTTCCTTGTTTCTTACTTTCTGTATTTTGTGTTCATTTCATTTGTGATAAACAGGCTTTGTGATAAGGGATCAATGGGAAGGACCAGCGTGCTGAAAAGATTGTGCTTTCTCTTGCCCCACCAGTCAAAGCAAAGATAGAGGACAGATGGTGGCATACATCAGTGAAAGCACATCACTTGACGGTCCGAGCTGAATGTGACCATCACGGAAAAGTGGAGGAAAAGAGCAACCTGTTGAGTGCCATGATAATAAAATGCCAGCGCACTAAATCTGGACACAGAACACGACAAGTGGAGCTAGAAAATACTGCAAGCCAAGTGGGAGAAGACCCAAGTTGAAGTTTTACTGCAATAGTTATTACTTTTGTGCAGCTTGAAGTTTCTCATTTGCAGTAGCTACTTTTTATTTCATAGTTTGTTCATTATCTTTAGGAAAGATTGAAGAAGATATGGTGTATAGTTCAAAATAGTTGTTTAGACTGCATGTTTCAATTTTGTTCATTCAGAAGGTGCTTTTATGTCTCTATAAAAGAATTTCTAGTTGCCATTTGTCTGACCTGGAGTAGTGTTAGAAATAAATTTGTTTGAGTTCTTAATAATTTATCACTTTGTCTAGTTCTACTTGGGTTTCTTTTGTTTCCTGTGGTGTTTCTGCTGGGTTTTTATCACTCCTGGTGACCCAAGTGTGACCTCTGTAGTATATGCACAAAAATAGCAGCAGTGTTGAAAAGGGTCTGAAAATTTTGTAAAGAATGGCGCAGAACAAAGATTTCTATAATAGTTTATTTATGCTATTTTAGTATCTGACTGTACTATGAAAATGGGACAATAGGCAACTAGCATCTAGTACTTCCATTGCATGCTGATTGGGAAGTCTAATTGAATTGTGATGACTGCCTAGTCTTGGGTCTCACACATAGGCGATTTGCGGCATATGCGAATGGCTATGTGATCCCTTTCTGCAAAATGGAACAGCTAAGGATTTTATTTTCCCTTTTTGTGCGCATAAAAAATGGAATGAACTGACTAATACAATTGTACTGTGACACTAATTTTGTTTTATGTTTTGGAATCAGCTAGTCACTTGATATATGTCAAAACTGTTAATCTGGTAGTATTTTCTAGTTAGTGTGCGTTGATAGCTAATCTAACATTTCGTTTGTTTGACCTTTTGAATTATTATTTTGCAAACCTTCAGGTCTGGGGACAAAGATAATGCTAGATATCGCCTAGTTGGTGGCATTGAGCATTGCAGGAGGACCTAACAGGGGGGTGCACTTTGTTGCTTATGCGAGAGGAAGCAGGATTGTCCTTGAGCAGGAGACAAGCAATAGCTTTTCCGCTTGGTTTCGTGCTAATGATAAAAGCATCAGAGAAGTGTCTCTAGGCGAAGTTCTCAAGTCGTGAGGCTTTCCTTCTTTTCTATGAGAGAAGATAGAAGCTTGAGACATGCATCATATTATGCCCAAGTAATAAAATGAGCAATCAAATGGCATTGGCAAGCATGATTTGCTGAGGATCCATTCAGTGCACTCAGTCCATACATGTACTGCTTTTGCTGAGGCATTGCAGGGCACCTGGTTAATGATGGCTTGTGACCAGTTGGGGAAATTGTTAGCTAATCTGCTGAGTGTTTCTTCTTGCTCTTTTAGAAGGAATTAGGGCATGCTGTATTGGCTGAACAGAGTAGGAAATTGATCAAAGATTCACATCATTGTCTGGTTTTGTTGGATGGTACTCGATCTTATGTGCCAGGGATTCACATTTTTGTGATCACGTGCCTCGTAATACAGATGTTTCTTCATTTTTGGGATTTAAGGTGTCGATGATTTTGGTTATGGAAGCGTTTCGTTGTTTTGTGAATGGTGGTTGCCAAGGATTTTTTTTTGGTTGCCTAGGAGAATGACGGTGTAGGGTGCTCCTGATTGATCAAGATGGCTTAATTCTGATTGCAGTATGCTAAAACAATCGTTTTTTCACAATGCTCTTCTTTGCCTATGCAAGACCTCGGTTTCCATGGCACCACTGGAAACTGGAAGATGGTTCAGGTATTTGCTGGTTTAGCTATTAAATGGCATGTTTTTCAAGTCTTTGTTCAATCTATCTTTTATAAAACAGTGAATCGACAATTCGCAATCTTGTGGATGATTGACTTGCTTGTTAAAGATCTTCCTGGTGTAGATTATCCTCTCCTTGATGCTAGAATCTGGGAGCATTTTGATGTTGCTGCTCCCTGCATTGTATTTCTGTCAGTGTTGTATTATGGTAACATTTTTTTTGAAGCTACTATGGTGACATTTTTATTATTGAAGTCACATGCATTTGCTATTGCTGGCTATAATTTGTTGTGTTTTCGTGCCTCAGTAGTTGCATTGTGGGAGCACTTCAGTGGATAGAAATTTGTTATTTGTTGTTCTGTGTGTTTTTCCTCTGTTTCTTGCTTTCTGTACATTGTGTCATTTTGTGATAAACAGACTTTTTGATAAATGGATCAATGGGAAGGACCAGCGTGGTGGAAAGCTTTTTCTTTCTCTTGCCCCACAGTTAATCAAGGGTGTCAGTATACACTGTAAGTTTTCTACTTGACTATAAAAATCGTACATTTTTCAGACCTCAGATTTAGTTAGTCCACGGCATGCTGACTATGGGTTCTAATGTATAACACTATTGATCCATGTGTTATGTTTGTCTTGCAATAAAAACCAGATAGCGTGGATTTTTCATTCGGACAGAAACATAATAAAAAATATGTTAATGTTGAACTATTGTAGCTATCTTCCAGTTAGCAATGTTAACAAGCGTGGATTGTTTTGTTTGCAATTCTTTGATTTTTCAAAGTCTATCAGATTACTAGGGTATGTTGCTTTCTTAATTTCTTTTGTTAGTACAGTCGTTGACTGGATGCATGGCGTGATAGTTTCACCATCTACCTCACTGTATTGGACCATTTCTTGATTTTACAGCATGTAAATGCTTTTGTTGTCACATGACCCATCTTTTAGTTGTGAAATTAAATGCAAATGTCTTGATATATTGGGAGGATGTACTTCTACTTCATATATTTGACAACTTGATTTGATTACAGAAGATCATAAGTCCATGTTGAATCAGCACTAAGCATTGAACTTTGTTGGAAGTGCACTCTTTTTCTAGAAATTATTTCACTTGAGAAGGATGCATTTACTTGGACCTGTCAACATATGTATGATATCTGACGTCATAAGGATCCAGTAGAGTTAATTATTGATAGCTGCACCTAAACGCCCAAGTAGAGTTAATTGGGACGCCTAGAAAATCAACTTAGCTTAAATACGTGGCTATTTTGTGTATCTACTGTGAGGTTGGCTATTTTGTGTACGGAAGAGGAGTCATTGAGTCAAGCACATGCTCATGTGGGCAAAGCCATCGTGATGCACATGGGCACGGATTCGAGTGGGAGTGAAAGATGGAAGAAGAGAGGTTTGGGACCAGAAGGGATAAATAAAAGTAGTACCGGATTGATAATGCCGGAGTTTAACCCTTTTATTATTGAAATACTTCCTCCGTTTCTGAATGAATCAAATTCCTAACTAAAGCTATATTAAGTTGGTGTTTTTTTTAAAAAAAATGATCAAACTTATAGGAAAAATGAGAAAATTTATGACACCAAATTATAGGAAAAATGGAGGCAACGACATAGTGGAGGTGGTGATAACATAGCATATGCTCCGGCAGCTGGCTGTGGTGCCAATGCCGTCGAGAGCAAGACGTCTGCTTTCCTACATGGACCGTATAGCCCTTCCGCCACCGCGATTCAGAAGAATCGAATCCAAAGAGACAACAGCAGCTTGGGTCAGAAAAGTTTAGTACATTCGACATGAAATCCTTCCATTTTCCAATTTATTTGATATCCTTGTTGAGTTAGTTGTTGTCGTGTCAATAATTGATTTGTCTGACGGAGACCTCTCTTGATGACTGCATGGGTATGCGTACTGATTGAAGATTTATTTTAATTAAATTAGATAAGAAAGTACCCATGGATTAGTTCAACTATCAGTTAATCCAGGTTCTAATAAGATTAAGTTTTATTTCTAATAAAAATTTGTTGGAAAATATTTATTTATTAAAAAGTTAAGGTTTTAAAGATTCATAATATTATATTTATTTTATTTTAATGTTTATAACGAAAAAGATAAACTTTGATGGAAAAGAAAAAACAAAAAAAAGGAACCTACGCGCGGTATACACCGCATCGCAAGCAGGCGGACACCACATAGAAAAACGAAAATAAAAAGGACAGGAGTGCAGTAAAGGAAAAACGAAAAGAAAAAGTACATGGGTTTTAAAAAATTACGGTAGAAATTTTGGCTATTTAATATTTGGTAGATAGGGATATAGATATAGAAGTAAGACAATATTTTGTTCAATTTTTACTTGAATATTCTTTAATTTGGGGT